CTAGTTTTTTTGGCTGGCCGACTTGTTTTTGCTGCATTTCTCCAGTTTGCTGCAACATAGAGCAAGAATGGGCATGACAATGTATTTGCAAGATATGTGTGCACAACCACCTTCCCTATCATTTCATGATCTCAAGGGAGTGCGATTCTCGACCCTCAGGCCACCAATCGCGCATTTCAATGCATGATGGCCGAGAGGCGAAGTTGCACAATCAATATTAAATGAATGCACAAATAAACATATAAATGCCTAGAACTCTATCATGCATGATCAAGAGCATCAGCGCGGCAACCGAGAATTGAGGCACGTTTCATCACTTCAAGTATGAAACGTCCCTCATTTCTCGTGTTTGGACTAACATCTATTCCAAACAAAATGCAACATAAGCATGGCATACACAATGCGACTCAAGCATGCAAACATGCAATGCAACTTAAGCATGCAAACATGCAATACAATGGAACGAGCATGCGAACAATATGCAAGGGACAAGCATGCAAACAAGCAATGCAATGTAACATAACACACTCAATGCCAATGGCATGCACACTTAATGCAAAGCAATAAAATAGCATACACAATGCAAATAACAACATGGCATTCACAATGCAAGGCAACATGGCATACTCAACGCAATGTAACATGGCATACACAATGCTCGATGGACTTAAACCAAAATGGACAGACCTCAGTCATGCCCAAATCAGTGGCCATAATGATGAAACCAAGGCACAAAAGGGCAAGGCAAACATGCTCAATGTAATGGCCCACCAACTAGGCCTAAGAGCACAACTCTCAAGAATGCTCAAAGAGTGATAAACATGGAAGTGTAACAACACTATAAGCTTTGAAATAAGGTATGAAATGATGTCAAATCATTCAAACAACACAAGCAAAGAATGTAAAGGTCCTTAAAGCATGAAGCTAGTAAAGAGGACTACAAAGAGGGCATGCAATACATGGCATAAATGCATGAACCAACCATGGATAGAGCTTAATTAGGTCTAAACAAAGACTAAAACATGCTAAGATGGAGGCTCAAAGACATAGGCAAGATGGCACACACATTGGTCCATAAGCTAGGCAACAAATGCACAACACTCAAAGGCACTTAAAGAGTGAATGAAGTGGGAACATGGCAATGCTACATGCTCTGAAATAACATATGAAATGATGCCAAATCATGTACACAACACAAATGAAGCATGCTATGGTGCTCAAAGCTCAAAGCTAGCATATGCATTTGTACTACAACTATGCAAAACATGAAGCATATGGCCAAGGCAACCCAAAATAGTCCTAGAACATGTCAAAATGAGTCTAAAACATGTATGGAAGGAAGCCAAAACAAGCTAGCATGAAGGGCATAAAGCATGGATCTTGCAAGGTAAATAAGGTGGATTACACTACACCTCCCAAAACCAAGCATGAGATGGCTTAACCAACAAAAATCAGAGTTATATCATGGCAAAATAACCCCAAAAACACACTGAAATGAAAGCTCGCAAGCTTAGGCATGAAGGCATACGCAATGACTCATGTTTTGAGGCATAAAGGACCAACCCTCCAACGCATTGAATAAGTGACAAATGTGAATGCATGAACATGAAACATGAACTGAAATCACGTAACAAATGATGCCAAATCATTCAAATAGGCCAAGCAATGCATGCTAATGGACTTGATACACAAAGCTAACAAGCTAGAATGCACTATAGCTATACAAAGCATGGCATGCATGACCAAAAAAAATACAAATCAGAGTTTAAGCATGCTAAAACATGGACAAAAGCTTCTTGAAGTTAAGCCAAAAATATGCTAGAATGATAGTCTAAAGCATGGTACACATTAGGCTAGTGAAGGGAAATGCACTACAAGTGCATGGAGCATGCATGGGCTAACCAAATCAAACCTTGACAGAGGTATGACATGGCAAAATATCACCAAAAACATGCTGAAATGGAGTCAACATAAGCTAGAAGGACATGCTACTTTATGAAGCATACAAGACTAGTTTATGAAATTTACACTACAAGTGTATAAGGCATGCAAGGGCCAACCAAACCAGCCTAAAACAGATCTAAGGCATGTTAAAAAAACACCAAAAACCTACTGAGATGGCCCCAAAACAAGCTATAAAGACATGCTCAAACATGAGGCACACAAAGCTAGTTTGTAAGATTTACACTACAAGTGTATTATGCATGCAAGGGATGATCAAGACAACCAAAAAAAGTGGCATGCCATCTCAAAATAACCCCAAACACATGCTAAGAACAAGCCACCACAAAGCTTAAAAAACATGCTCAAACATGAGGCATATATGGCAAGTATACAAGACACAAGGAGAGGGGATGACCCTCTCCTATTTAGGACCCAAAAACTACCTTTCCACCACTAAAAATCCTCTAGATTTCAGTGGTAGAAAGGTCATGCAAAGGCTAGAACAAGAGCCTAAAGGGATGGCTCAAAACAAGGGCTAGAAAGGCCTAAGAGGGGGTAGACAACCCCCAACACAAAAGTAACCTTAAACAAACATGTTAAGGGCCGGAAAATAGAACTTTTTATAGTAGGAAGTTAAGTCTAAAACACCATGCAAATAGCTCTAAATGCTTAAACAAAACAAAGGGTTAAAGGGTTAGTTGACTCACCCTTGTAGAACCTCTTCAAGGCTGCAACTCCAGTAGCTTCTTTGAGCTCAAACCAGTCCAAAACAACCAAAACAAGCCTCAAGAAGCCTCAGCAACAAAAGGATGGTATTTAGGTGTGTGTTTGTATGTTAAAGTGTGGTAAAACTACACTTTTAAGGCACAAAATGAAGAGCAAGAGCAAGATAGATACAAGTATATATGTATAACTCTCAAGCCTCAAGAACTGAACCTGGAGAAGGAGGGAGGAGGTTCTTTCTTATAGAGAACCAAACTCAAGCTTGTTGGACAAGCTTAGGGTCCAAGGCCATCCCTCCATACACGTGTATGGAGGATGGCTTTGGTGCCTTCCAGCTATTCCAGCTGGATAAAATATCTCCAAAAAGGTGATAAAAAGCAGCCGACCACTTGAAGTGGTCGGCCAGCTACTTGAAGTGGTCGGCCGACCACCACAAGTGGTCTCCCAAGACAACAAGTGGTCGGCCATGGTGGGAGAAGGTCCAGAGCATGAAAACAATGCAGTGGTGTGGTGGCCGACCAGAAAAGATGGCCCAAAGAGCAAGGAGACCAGTTCGCAGACCAGAAAACTGGCTGGCGGGAAGAAAAGTGGTCTCCAAGGGGAAGAATTGGTCTCCCACCCTTGTACCACCTTCCAAACAAGGAAAACAAGGTTTGTACCAAAAACAAACCAAAAGGGATGCAAGACGAAAGTTCGGGAGGCAAAGCACGCGGCCGAAAGCCTCGAAAACTAGTCTACGAGCACCAAAAGAGGTTTACGACCACAAAAGTGGTCTCCCAGACCACATTGGCCCCGTTTGGTAGAGTTGTGGGAAAGTGATTATAGATTATAGCTTAACAGATTATAACTTATAGTTGTGAGTATAAGCTGCTAACCTGTTTGGTGTAGCTGTGGGATTATAGATTTAAGCAGCAGAGTAGTGTTTGATAAATAAGCTGTAAAATAGCTTTTTGCTGCGTAATTGTCAATTTTGCCCTTATGAATAGGAAATTTGTAATTTTTGTAATTTTCTTCTGTTTAAATATTGAAAAAGTTATTTCATTAATGGAAATTGATTAATTAGTACATAATTTGGTACATTTCATTTACCTAATTTTTTATTTTTTTTTTTGTATTTATTTTTGTATTTAATTTTTTTGTAATAAATATTGAGTTGACAAGAAAACAAAAAATTTAATTGCAATAAAAATATAATAAATTACTATTAAGGCAAGAAAAAGGGCTCTTCATAGATATTTATAGAGCTCCTAATTTCGTCTGCAAATTGACATACAAATATTATGTCTCCTCACTTCCATTTCGTTGTCATCACATGCAACATCATTTCCATGGCGTGCTTGTTGAGATGAAGATCCTTCCTCTTCATTAGGCACATAATCCGTGTATCTATCATAAGAGTCAAATGCAATATCGGGGAGCTTACTTCGTCGGATGAAATTATGAATTGCCATTGTTGCACAAACAAGTTTGACTTGGGTCGGCCACTTGTAGTTTGGTGGGATATCCTTTATCATCGGCCATCTTACTTTCCAAACCCCGAACGTTCTTTCTATTACACTTCTAAGTGAGGAATGTGCTTGGTTGAATTTTTCTTGTGCATTTTGGGGGGGTTGACCATGTTCAAATTAACCTAGATGTTATCTCTCTCCTTTGTAAGGTGCAAGATATCCTTTCATGTTTTGATAACCAGCATCCACCAAGTAAAACTCATCTATTTTAAAATTTCAAAATGAAATTTAAGTAAGCAATTATAAATGTAAAAATAAATATGAAGATGTGAGTGTGGTGCATCTATTGTACCAATCACATATAAAATAGTTACCTCCTTGTGGTTTTGGAAAATTAAAACTAGGATTCCTAATTGCATCTAAGAAGATCCGAGTATCGTGTGCACTTCCTTCCCATCCTGGTAAGCAAAATGTGAAACACATATCAAAGTCACATGCGGCCATTATGTTTTGAGTCGCATATCCCTTTCTACCTATTAGGCGAGCTTACTTATCTGGAGATATATATATGCTTTGATGTGTGTCCCGTCAATTGCTCCAATACAATCCTATTACATGATAATGAATACAAAACATTTTTGCCACAGATAAGTAAAAATATCCTACCAACATTAATTATATGTAACACCCAAGTTGCTCTTGTAGTTAATTATTTACCTTGAAATGAGGATAATATTTGCAGTTGCGTCGAATATATGGATACACACCATTAGTCGGTTGAGGCCTTACCCAATCAATGGACATCTTTGTAACAGCCTTTAACACCTTAAAATATTTTGAAATAGTCTCGCCGGAATGTTGAAATCTTTCTTGGACATTTCTGTTTCAAATGTCACCGCCAACAATAAACAAAAATATTGCAACTTGCTCTTGAACCGAGAATTGTCGTCCAGTTTGAAGGCCATAATTTGTCTGTAACAAATTACACAATTGATAAAATACCTCTCTTTCCATTCGAAAATTTTCAAATATTCTTGTCCGATTCCCTTCTTGTAATTCTACCATCCACATCCTTCATGTTAAACAAGATGTCCTGCATGGTTCTTTTATCAAATGATTTGTTACATATGTCGCTGCAACTGTAGCCGCCATAGCTAAGAGCATATTATTATTTTGTTGGGTTTGTGATGTGTTGTCTTCATCATTAGTATCTTTATCATCATGGTCATCATTCCATTGGTCTTCATCACTGTTACTCATCTTTAAAATACCTACTGATTTAAAAGGTTCAGTTACCATTCAATTCAAACAAAAATAGGGTGAGATAAAAAGTTAATATAAATAAAAGTTACCACTGAATATTCCTTGACGCCTAATAATAAGAAAATTATAAACTTAAGTCATTCTTGTTATCCATATGTAGAGTGTTAAAACACCGCTCAGAAATGAGGCAACCTATCAAGTGTGCTGGATAAACCATGTTGCAATTTAAAACTTCAAACACTGTGGACATGAATGCAATTCTTGACTTTGGACATGACTGTGGACATCAATCAATTAAGAAATCAATTAAGCCCGTGGACATGAATGCAATTCAAGCAAGCAACACTGTTATGACATTTTAAGAAGCAGTATTCCATGGGAAGGAAGCACTGTTATGACTGTTATGACTATGGGGCTAAGAAGTAGTATTCCATCACAAAAATTCTGAACTTGAAACTTGTTGAATACATACTAAGAACCAATATTCCATCACAAAAATTCCATAGCTAAATATCAGGCAACCTGTCATCCATTTATCCCAATTAAAGAAAACCATAATTCATATAAAGAAATCATGGCCATATGAAAATGAAATAGGTGAAACATTAAAATGTAAAGCAAGAAAATTATACCTTCAACTTCAACAAAATTATACCTGGAGAGATTCAAATGTAAAGGAAAAAAAATGTAAAGCACAAAAATGAATTGAGTAAACCATTCACCTACTTATACATATATATAACCTTCACCATTCACCTACGAGTCATATTCAACTAACATTGAACAAGTCAACCATTCACCAACCATTCAACAATTTAGTCCAACATAATTTAATAAAATTCAAAATATAAGTCCACAATTAAAAGTCCAAATATAGTCAATATTAAATATTGCAACAGCCCACAATTACTAAAATAAAAAGTCCAACAAAACAGTCCACAATTACTAACAAAAGTCTTAAGAACAACCGGCCAGTCCACAATTAGCCGCGATAACCTGTGGTGGTCTTCTCCATCTCAATCTCCAACTTTAGAAACCTAAGGCGAACTTCATCCGTAGGAAGACTCATGAAACACTCCCAACGCTTGTCTCCTAAGAACAATCGGGCGGCCCATACATACAGCTCATCATCCGGGGACACACCAGGGATGTTTTCCAACATCGCCAAACAATCTGCAATTGAAGGATATCTTGATGAGGTTTGTGTTGAAGTTGCTGAAGATGACTCAACCACATTGACTATGCGAGCAAGTGTCTTGTTAAGTAGAGTTGTACCAGTAAATTTCTTCTTGTTGCTCTTGGTTGATGAACCAGGTGTGTTTGATAAACGCTTTTGTTTAACTCAGAGAGATGAACCACCTCCAAAGCATCATCATCATATTCAGCATCATATAGGGTATGAAATTCCTCCACATTGTCGTCAATGTCAAGCATAACCCCTGAACTAGGAGTGTATGCCCATTCTCCTGTAGCAGCTGCATCTGAGAATAGTATGTCTAAGTCTTCACTAAATTGCAACGGCATACGCCGGAATTTAGCAGCATCAGGATACCTCTGCAACAATTACAAAGAAAAAATTTAACATTTACAATTATCAAAATTTGGTGTGTTTAAATAACAAAATCAAACGGAATATGTACATTAAGCAATTTAAATACCTCTAATTTGTTGGTCCACCACTCATCAGATGCAGTTATAGCTCCAGTCAATGTGTCACAGCCTAAGCCTATCTCACCCCTTAACAGATTATTCCACAAAAGCCAATCTTTTTTCAACACATCCCAATGGTTTTTCATTTGTAGTCGTTGGTATGTTTTTCCATTCATAGTTTCAAACAAAGTTATGACATTTTCCCACCCGACCCTATCTAAGTGTGTACCAGGTCTGTGTCCGACCTTCACTTGGTCAACACAAAGCTTAATAAAGATTTCATTTGATTTTGCATCCCAATGAGCCTTAGTAGATGGTACTTGAGAGGATTTTCCCTTATTCTTCCTATTTTCAGATTGTGTTTCCTGTTCGGTACTCATTCTATGAACGAAAAAAAAAAAAATTTGTTTAACACATACTCATTAATCATTGGTTGCATTAAAACATAAGACTAGTACAAAATAACCATACATGGCATGATTAGTATAAAACATAAGATTACTACAATAGATGTCTCATCATTGGGTACACAACTTAGCAAAAAAACACATATCTAAAAGCCACCTACAATCATTTGAAGAGTAATGCAACTGATAGAACAATACAAATTGTGAGCAAACCCACAACAAGCTGTTTCATAAATGTTACGGATTGCTCAAGCATTTGGTTCTTTACTTTTAGTCCTACAGTCTCAATGTTTTGATCTTGATAAAGATTTGTCTCTTTCCTCAGCCTCTCTACCATCGTCACAGATTTTGGGGTACACCACCTCCAAAATTGACAATTTCTCTTCTCACAATTTACATACAGTCTTCCTTTTGATGGCTTCTCGGATTCGGTTACCCTTATGGCAGCTCTTACACCACACTCACATTTCAAAGCCTCGTACCTCAAATCCAAGGTCTCGGCACTAGAAGCATAGTTACTGGAGGATGACATGCCTCTGTAGTAATGAGAAAGAATTGAATCCATATCCTCTAAGATTGATTGGGAACTTAAAGATGTTATACATGACTAACACTATTGTCCATGACTAACTACATAAATAGAAAGAGTTTACATAAAACAATTGAGACAATGACATGCCTTTGAAGTAAACTGTTAATGGTTCAGCAAACTGTTAATGGTTAATGGTTCAGCAAATTCATTCCTCTTTCTACATCAGGGAAATTATAATATTCATTCCTAAAGCGTAAGGAGGAGGTCTATGGTTAAGGGAAAAATAAGCAACTATGAACTACAATCTGAACTGAAGAAATATAAAAGGAATCCCACATTTGTGGACAACTTATTTTAAATAAAATAAATTAAAAGGACTTCTTGGGGGCATGAAATAATAACAAGTGAGAAGTATTACAAAGGAACTTTCACCTGGTCAGCAGCCAACTATATTTACAAACTACAGATAATCCAAAATAAGAGAATGGTAAACAATGACATATGGGAATTTTCTAAAACTTCGGATGTAGAACTGAAAAATGAAAATAAAAATGTACATGATGACAGATAAGGGAATACATCATTGAATACATCATTGACAGATAAGGGAATTCATTATTAATAAAAACTTCTGATATGGGAATTTTCTAAAACTTGAGGTTTGAAGACATTTTGAAAACTTGACTTATAGTAAAAATTTTCAAAATCATGTTAAAAAAAAAGTCATCTTTTAAAAAAATGTTTCAAAAAAGAACTTGAGAAAAAAATTCAAAAAATTCAAAAAAAAATTATGAAACTTAAAGACTTTTTTTTATTTGATTTATTTTTTAAATACAAGTTGTTTTGAATTTATTTCTTAGCACCTGGACGATCTTATCTGTAGTACATACAATATAAAATGCTCATCTCAGCACATGGACCTTATCTGCAATACATCATTTACTATTTGATAAATTATTTATCAATTTATTCATATGTTTAAGGTATCTATCCCATGTCTGGGTATTTTCTAAAACTTCACAAACTAATTTAACTGATGAAGCTAAAAATTATCAGGTATCTTCATCAAACACTAATTTATCACAAGCCAAACAATGACAGGAAAAAATTGTATCAAAAGCCAAACACACACAACAATCTTCATTAGAAATTATCAGTTATCTTCATTAACATGTTATTTATGAAAATAAACTGAATGATAGAAAAATAAAATCAGTATATAAATATATCATTTTCTTGAACTTCAGTAAGGGAGAGAGATGAGGTAAACAGAGCATACATTTCTGTTTATCCTCAGATAAAGTATATATATTAATATCTTCATTAATAATCAGAGCATACATATTAATAAACAGAGCATACATTTCTTCGAGAGAAAGAGATGACAAATAAGGAAGAAAGCAAGCTAATGGCAAGATGGAAGAGGAAATTTCAGACGGAGAGGGTGAATCGAAGGAAGAAGATGTGATCTGTCTGTAAACCCTAGCTGAAATGTGTGTGTGTGTGTGTGTGTATATATATATCACAAACAAAAGGCATGAATCTTACCTTTTGTAGTGCAGATCTTGGAGAAATCTTGGAGAAATTTCGACTTCGATCGGCTGATCTTGGAGAGATATGAAGGATCGTCTTCGTCGTTAAGAGGAAATGAAAAGACGAGTGTGAGGAGAGGAGTGGGCTAGGGCACGACGAAAGAGGGCTTATATAGTGGCATAATTGTAATTGTTGAAGTTTTGGAGGGGCATTTAAGTCATTTCATGCCCCTCCAAACAGCTGCACACTTAAGCGGAAATCATAAGCACCTCCGGAGCAACTTGAGGAAGTTGGCTTAAAATGACTTTTTTTAAGTTATAATTTGCTGCTTTAAGTTCCACCAAACAGATCAGAATGACTTAAATTAAGTCATAAGTTCAAATAAGCTGAAGTTAATTTCTACCAAACAGGCACATTGTCCCTCTAGGCAAAGGCAACAAGGTGTGGTTCAAAAACCACACCAAACGGAGAACGTTAAGTGGTCCCGAGTCAAGGCGCACGGTCGAAGACTCCGAAAACCGAAAACTAGTCTCCAAGCGGGAAAAGTGGTCTACAACCACAAGGAGGTGGTCTACCAGACCTCTCCCTCTCTCCAGCGAAGAGAAACAAGGTTCTATACGCAAACCGAGCCAAAGCACAAAGAGTTCAGAGGCCCGGAGGCAAGGCTTTCAGCCAAAACTCCGGAAACCCTAAACGAGCACAAAATGCACTATCACCGAGCGCTCAACCGATGACGTCTGAGTCTTAAGGTCGGTCAAAAATAGGGTGTCTACAATTGCCCCTTTTTGACAGAACTCGGAAGTCATAAGTGATGGGAGTGAATGTCAAAGCCCAGAGACGACCTATTTTTGACAAGGCTGAAGACTTAGACAAATAGGCAAGATAACAAAAAGATGTGCCTGCAGGCAGGGGCAAAATACAAATGACATGCACAATGCCAAGCATAACTTATGATCATGCAAAGAGAGCTGTAATGAAGCAATTATGCACAATAAATGCAACATTTTAAGCAGGTGAATCCGAACCAAACTACAACTCATGCAGAAAGGGTGTAAGAGAATTATACAATTCTCACTACGTCTCAAGCAGAGTACATACAATACCATCTAGTCGCACTAGCTTCAAATGAACTGTACATACAATATTGTCTAGTCGCACCAGCGTCAAATGAACCGTACATACAATATCGTACTAGCAAAAGAAAGAAACTCAACAGGTACAATATAGTTAGAAGCACATGTTCAACGCTATATCAGGATACAATTCCAATGCGAGACAAACACATGCATACACAATGCCGATGGAAACATGCATAGTAATGCAAGTGAAAAGTGCGTGACAACGCAATTGGAGCATGCATAACAATGCATGTAGTGTGCATAACAATGCAAGTAAAGGGGCGCATGACAATGAAACCTAAGTGTGCGTGACAACACGGGTGAAGGGGTGCATAACAATGCAACCGAAGTATACACATAATAATGCGATGGAGGGGTGCATGACAATGCAACCTAAGTGTGCGCATAACAGTGCGATTGAAATGCATAACAATGCAAAAGGAATGTGCAAAACAATGCGAGCAAAAATGAGCATAACCATGCAAATAAAGTGTGCCTGACAATACGAGAGAAACGTGCATAACAATACGACGAGTGGTGTGCATAACAATGAAAAAGTGATGTGCATAACAATGCATTTGGCATATGCAATTTCAAAAGTACGTTCGAAACAGAATACTGAAAAACGAGATACAAGTCTTAACGCGAGCAATTCAACCTGAACCTTTGAGTTACCTCTCGGAGGTGTCACGAAGTATTCAAAAGGATACACCTTACTCTTGACGAGTAATTGATGAGCCACGCATCGAAGACTTGAATCGAAATTCCCGCGGGGACGATTTTGAGCCGAAAAGTGTACTTTCCTTGCACTTTCTCGAGAGCCGAGTACTCCAATCATCACCAAAACACACAGGGAGGACAATGGGACCTTGGAGATCATCCAGGATAGTGGCCGACCACCAAGAACAATGGCCGACTAGTTGTTGACCACCAAAGTGGTCGGCCAGCTAGAAAAACTGGTCGGCCGACCAGTTTATGAAAACAGGGACAGTTTTGTCGTTTCAAGGTTAGATCTTTAAGTACACAATTCTAAATCACTTTTCATCACACCTCCAAGGCCGAAATACATTTCTCTTCCTCCCTAGACCATTTTCCCTCTCAGATCTGCACTTTATACACGTTTTCCAACGCCCCACGCGAAGTTGTTTCGCGAAAACTTTCGATTCTCTTCGTTTTGAACCGATTAGAATTTGTTTTCGGAGCTTCTTTCTCCATTTTCACCACTTGAGGTAAGTTTCTCTTGAACTTCAGCAACTTTTCTCAGGCGTTGACTTTTGTTGACTTTTTCTCTTCTAGAGAGTTGATTTTTGTTGATTTTTTTCAATTTTGGCTCATTCCGCTCATTTTTGCTCATTTTTGCATCTTTTTTCAGATGGCTGACGATATTCCATACGGTGGAGGCTCTCCGAGAGTGGACGATGAGCCGAACGTTATGCCACTGCCTCCGAGGATTCGGCCGTTCGACCAGAAGAGGTACCACCCGCAGGAACATATACTACCTCCTAGCACCTTCCACCATTTTACTGATTTCACGCGACGGAAGCCCGCAGACATACTGCTACGGGAGCCTGAGTCTCATCTATCTCATCATGCGCAAGAGGTACGTACTTCACTTTTACATTCCCTGCGATGTATTTTGCATTCATTGCACATTTCATGCTTTCGCTATGTATTTTATCTGCTAGTTCTGAACACATTCACATACACAGTACTTCTGCATGTTCTTAACATAATTTGCACACAGCATCCGATTCACTCGGCACACAGCTCATTTTGGGCACACAACTCAT